TGTGATGGAAACCTCACTTTAGTCATTTTTCTGACCTCGTAACTCACTCCTAATATTCTCCACAAGCACTTATGATGAAAGACATATAACTTCTGAGTATCTGTTTTCTTATGTTGCCAGGTTTCATTACCTTAGGTTGCTATGGCTACAACAAAGGCTGACTAGACTGTTTTGTATGAAAGGATACTCTCTTAAGTTTTCAAATGTTCCTAAGCTTACTGAAAGCTGCGTTTATTTTGACAATCCTTATTCTTATTTCCTCAGAGCATGAACTCTTATTGGCTTATTGTGCTTTCAAGATATTATTTGAATCGATCTACCCTCTCTAGCTCTTCATCGTCAATTTTGATGTTTAAATCCATATTTCTAATTACCATGGTTTTACATTTCTTCACTTTGAATCACAGTCCTACTTTCTCCATTGTTTCTTTCATTTTATTTGTGCATGCTTGAAGTCCTTCAGCATTTTCATGTAGAAGAGTGATGTTATCAATTAAGTCTATATCAATCTTGAATATTTCCACCTTACGCCATATTGATTTTTTTCTTACATATTTGAGGCCATATCAATAATGAGCAAGAACAAGAATGGAGACAGGCTGCATCCTTACTTTACCCCGTCCTCATTTTAAATCCTCTATCCATTTTAATACAACATTTGGAGTTAGTGTAAAATGCCTTCATTACATTGATAAGTTTCATCGGAATTCCATACCGCCCTACAATTTTCCAACATTGTATCCCTATTTACACTATCAAATGTTTTTTGAAAGTCTATGACATTAATACCATGGGTTCCTTGATATTCATTTACATTTTCAATAATCCTTTTTAAGGTGAAAATTGCATCTGTGTATGAACAACCGCACCTAAAACCAAATTGTTCCTGTTTAACACGATCAAAGTTAAGACTTTTCCTGTGACTGAAAGACGTATCACTCCTTTCCAATTGAAGCAGTCACTTAAGTATCCCGTTTTCAGAAGCTTGATGGTAGTACCAAGTGTCCCTTCTTCTGGAACTTTTTCTTCTTTTTTCATATTTTATTGCATAATGAACATACTTCTGTTGCCAAATCTTCATCCACAGATTTGAGCATTTTGGGGGTGAATGCCATCTAACCCTGGTGTCTTGTTGTTTTTTAGGTTGGGTAAAGCTTCTAAAATCAACTTTGATTTGAAATGCATCAGTGTCTAACACGGGGAGTGCCTCTTTTTGATCTCAAGCTAAGTTTTTGAATCCGGCTGGTTAAGCACTTCTTTGAAGTGTTCAACCATCTGCTCTCACTTTTCTTGAAACTTCAGAGTTTCAGCAAATTTCTGTTTCACTGGGACTCTATAAATTCACAAAGTAATAAGTCACAAGGACTAGACGGCATTCACTAGAGTTCTGAAAGAACTCAAATGTGAAATTGCAGACTTACTAACTGTGGTTTATTACCTATCCTTTAAACCAGCTTCCCTACCAAAAGACGGAAGCGAATGTGATGCAATGTTTTTAAAAGGCCCCAGACGCGATCCTGGCAGTTACAGGCCAGTAAGTCTAACTTCAGTTGAAACAAAAGAATTGTAAGATGTATAGATGAACATAATTTGTTAGGAAAAAGTCAGCATGGTTTTTATAAAGGGAAATCATGCCTCACTAATAGACCTGCTGATGGGGGGAGGAGGAGGCAGCAGTCAAAGGGAGTAGTTGCTCTGGGGCCTGGCGATTCAGAGGAGCCCAGAGCATTGAGCCAGCCTCCCACACTTGCCCAGGGGTCTGCAGATACTGTAAGTTTCCTTGCTCAGCAATCTACTAGAATTCTTTGAGGGGTTGTCACCGAGGTGCGGGGAGTCGCTCAGCCCTGCACCTGCACCCTACACCTGCCAGATGTGTGACTCAGCCGCCAGGCAGAACAGAAGGTTTATTGGTTCACAGGGACACAGTGTAGCACAGACTTGTTGTTAGCACAGGAACCAGGAGCAGTCAGTCACCCCATCTTGGGGATAAGGGGCCCTGGGCCCTGTTCCCCCATCCTGCTCCAAGTCCCCCAAGAAAACCCCGCACTCGCACTCTCAGCAACCTGACCCAGCCTCCAGCAGCCCCGCCTTCCCCTTTGTCTGGCTTCTTGGCAAAAGGTGTCTCCTGGTCACACCCTCTCCCAGGCTCAGGTTACAGGGACCTTTGTCTACTTCATGAGTTCCCGGGAGGGTGGGGGGGCGCAATGTGAAGAAATTCGAGGGGGGGAAGCACGAGGCAACCCAGCCTTCCCCCCCATCAAGTTTTGCTGCCCCGCTCAGTTCCTTTTTTTTTTCTCCTCAAGTTTTGCGATTTCTGCCCATATGACAGCACTTTTAATGAGCAATGACAGTCTAGGAATTTAACTACTTAAACACATATCAGTAGAAGACCATTGTATTGACTACTTTTTTGTTTTGGCTCCCATCTGTGGGCTGCATGTTGAGCCCCGCATAAACCCAAACTGCACCGCAGGCTACAAACAAATGGGTCATGGGCCACGTGTTGAGTAGCCCAGATATAAATCATGGGGTCTAAATTAGCTGTCACCGCTCGAGAGAGATCTTAGCGCACTATCCACAATGACTCCGAAAACATCCATTCAGTGTGCTGCAACAGTCAAAAAAGCAAACAATGTTTGAAATAATTAAGACAAGGTTACATAATAAGACAGAAACTATCATATTGTGTTTGTATAAATCTGTGGTACACCTGTGTCTTGAATGCAGTGTGCAGATATGGTCATCTTTTCAAAAAACCTTTTGGAATTGGAAAAGGTTTTGAAAAGAGCAACAAAAATGATTAGGGGTATGGGACAGCTTCTGTGTGATGAGAGATTAATAAGACTGGGCTTTTCGGCTTGTAAAAGAGAACTAAGAGGCGATATGACAGAGGTCTATAAAATTATGACTGGTGAGGAGAAAGTAAATAAGGAAAAGTTTACTCCTTCCCATAACACACAAACTAAGGGTCACCAAATGAAATTAAAAGGATGTGTTTTTTTAAAACAAACAAAAGAAATCATTTCTTCACACAATGCACTGTAAGCCTGTGGAACTCTTTGCTGGAGGAAATTGTGAAGGCCATGGCTATAACAGCATTCAAAAAAAAAAAAAAAAAAGCTAGATAAATTCATGGAGGACAGATCCATCAATGGCTATGAGCCAGGATAGGCAGAAATAGTGTCCCTAGCCTCCGTTTGTCAGAAGCTGGAAATGGTCTACAGGGGTGTATTGCTTGATGATTATCTGTTGTGTTCACTTCTTCTGGGGCCACCTGGTGTTGGTCACTGTTGGAAGACAGGATACTGGGCTAGATGGAGCTTTGGTCTGACCCAGTATGACCATTCTTATGTTCTTAAGCAAATTTATTGTCATACCACACTTAAATAAAAAATGGCAATTTTGGTGGGGTGGGAGGTGTTGTGTAAAGGGGAACAAAGTATTTGTGGAGTGTCTTTCCTCTTGAAATGTTGTATTGAGCCATAGTCCCTCATTTCTTGTTGAACTTGTGAAAAATAGCATATATATGAACAGGACTGATGACATTCAAAGTTAGCAATCTCTTCTTTTGAGCATGTAACATGGAGGCATGTCAGTAAGATGCATGGTGCCATAAGGCAAGATAAAACTGTGGTTAAAGGTCCCAAGGATTTGAAGCTATTCTGCTTTGCTTGTAATTGAGGCAGTTATTTAAAAAAATTATTTTAAGGAAAAGTTCAGTCAGAACTGTGAATACAGTGATTAGGTAGGCGGCTTTATATAACTCTCCTTAAGTTGGGTACTCAGTAAATTTCCAGATATTTTGACCAGTATACAGTATGTCTGAAAGCAGATATCTGAACAGAATATTTTGCAATATTTGTTTATCCTTTGAATGCCTCTGTGTGCATGTGTATGCATGCGCATGTGTATACATATATACACAGGAACAAAATATTTGGAGAGGAGAAGTAATAATATTGTAACTGAAGTAAACTAGCTCTTAAAAACAGCATTTCTCTTCATTGCAGCTGTTTACTCCTACAGGTTTATTTTAAGTATTGAAAATTAACCAAGCAAACAGACTGCCTAGATAAAAATGATCACCTGTGTAGTGTCACCATGACAGTTTGCTTTTCTTACGGAAATTAGTGCACAGGACTTAACTCTTCCCTTTAAAGCAGACTCCTAGGAGCAAAAGTTCCCTAGGGTAAGTGGAATAAATAAATCCACCACTGGTTCCTCTGTACACTTTTCTCATTGTGCAACTTGTCATATAAACCCAGAAAGGACTAAGCCATGTATGTGTGCTGATTTTGCAGTGTTAGACTGGGTTTTGGGAAAGCTGTTTTTTTTTTTAAGCTCTGCCTCTGGGGCTAGTTGATCTTCACTTTTCTGTGCCTCCATTTCCTTCTTTGTAAAATGAGGATAAATGATACTGCACTCTTTCTGTAAAGTACGTGATCTATGGGTGATGAGCTGTAGATAGTAGCTCAGTGGGATTATTTTTATTTCATCATACACAGTGTTATGTATTCCAGACTAATGACTACATCATCTGGTGTTTGAGCAATACAGAGAATAAAACTTTGGAGCTTGTGGATGATCTTGGATTTTTTTTTCTAGACTGGGGGGTGTTTTTCAGGATACCAGAGAGTATCCCAAAAAAACTCTGCTGTGTCCAGGAAATGCATTTCCTCTTCCAATTTTTTTTCACAGAAGAGCAAATGCGCTCTTTTGGAAGCCCCTGTATTCCTTATTCTACGAGGAAGAAGGGGGCTTTCGAAAGAGGGGTTTTTTTCCCCCAACATTTGGCCCAGTCTAGGCAGGCCAAATGTCGGAAAAGCCTCTTCTGACAAAAGTATCGGAAAAAGCTACACAAACAGATGTTTCTGACAAACAGATGTAGTCTAGACGTACCCTTGAAAAATAAGGTATGCCAAGTGCAGAAGCAAACTGGCAGAATTATTACTGTGATTATTCTATGTCTGAGTTCCATAAATGTTCAACTTTCATTCCAGGGTATACAAATCTGAAAATTGGGTGTGTGCAGCCTCATGTGAATTTCCATTCCACAAATAGCAGAGGTATGTTTTTTTGTGTGTGGAAATAATACACCAGCTACTGTAATTGGTGATTTAATTGTCCTAGGTCATGAATGTATACATTGGATACATCCAGGCCTATGAAAAGATGAGCCTGGGAGCTTAAAGTGGTAACTTTTCTGGATTCAAAATTATGGACTGAATAAAGGGACCAGATTTATGACCCATGACAGCAGTCTGTAACCCACCAGCCTTCCTTTGTCCTACAGAGGTGTTAACTGCCCACTTCACTCGAATCCTCTCTTACAACATGTTAACTCCTTATGGCAAGATTGGGGAACCTTATTTGGGTCAGTGGCCACACAAAGTGAGGCAAAAAAACCCCTCACTTACATGACCCCCTGACCGCGAAGCAGGAAGGCACACCTCACATTTCTCTAGCACGTCAGAGCCTAAGAGGGCTTCTGCTAGTAGATTTTGTCAGCCCCCTGTGCTCTGGGGTGGGGCCAAAAATGAGGGGTTCAATGTTTGGGAGAGGGCTGCTGAGAAGTGGGCTTGGGATGTGGGGTCTGGTGGGGGAGGGAGGGCACTGGAGTGGGTTGTGGTTGCAGGGTCTGGGAGGATGGTAGGGTGCAGGAGCAGGTTGTGGGTGGGAGGTGGAGTGCATGAGTGAAGTGAGGGTGGGAGGTCTGGGCGAGAGGATAGTGCAAGACCAAAGTAGGGTTGAGGGTAGGGATGTTAGAAAGCAGATAAAAGAATAGTTGACTAACCACATGAATTCTTACCTGCTAGTTGACTATTCAAAAGTCCCAGGCGGGGGTGGTAGCCAGTGCACTCTGGTTCCGCTCCTGGGGAGCCCCCTGCCACCCCATGCTGCTGCTTCTGATACAAAGGCAGCAGTTCAGGCTGGCAGGCAGAGACAGTCCATGAGGAGAGTCAGTTTAAAAACCAGCTCCCCTCATAGACCAACTGCCTGCTTCCCCACACTGCTGCCTCTGATACAGGGTCAGCAGCGCACGGTGGCAGCAAGCCCAAGCTTGCCGCGGACGGAATGGGCTCCCCTCCACAGTGGGGAGCTGGTGGTGGGACTCCAGCCCTGGAGGATTGCTGTAGGGTTGAAGCACCAACACTGGCTCCCCAATTCTGGGGGTGGCAGCCCCGAGCCTCAAGGGCTGGATTTTGGCAAGCAGAGGGTTGGATTCGGCCCTGGGCTATAGGTTTCCCACTCCCCATGATAAATGATCTATTCCACGTTGTATTTAGCTGTGGTATTCTAAGTACCTTCTGAAGACCACCTCCAAAGCTTGTCTCTTTCACCAATAGAAGTTGATCAATACAGTTTATTAATACAGATGTTAAAATTTGTATTAAAGTAAATGTGTAACTGCTGAAAATGTCAGCAGTTACACGTTTACGGCACGGAGGCAGCAGGGGTGGGAGGCTGCCCCCCACACCAACTGGCTCTCCATGCTGCTGACTGGTACAGGGATATGGGACCCCCCAAAGGAGGATCCTGGAGTGGCCTAGGACAGTGCCCCTCAACCCTCCAGGGGCACCCAAGAGAAGTCTGGGTGTACATCAACACAAAATGTGGAGAAAACTGAAGTTTTGTGTTAAGTTTTACAGCATTTGTATTATTTTTGTACTTTTCACACCTCTGATACAGAGGCAGCAGTGAGAGGGAGAGGGAGGGAGATGTGTATAACTACGCACACTAACCAATGAGCCCAAACTCATTGTACGAATCACTTTTTGAATTGAAGAGCAATCCAAGATCTACCTCAAACCCAGATATCCTTGACCCCCTCTGTGCCCCTTCTCTGAGGCCCTGCCCCTGCTCACTCCATCCTTCCTCCCTCCCTACCCTACCCTTTCACCAGGCAGGGGCAGTGGGTTGGGATGCAGGCCCTGGTCTTGGATTAAGGGATTTGGAGTGTAAGAGGTGCTCTGAGCTTACCTTGGGTTAGGCAGTTGGGGTACTGGAGGGAGTTCTAGGTGCAGGCTCTGGGAGAGCATTTGGGTGCAGGGGTACTCGGGGTTAGGGTAGGGTCGTGGGTTGCAGGAGGGGGTTCATGGCTGGGGTAGGGTTTTGGTATGTGGGCTCTAACTGGGCACTGGTTACCTCAGTTGGCTCCTGGGTGGTGGTGCAGTGGAACTAAGGCAGGCTCACCCTTACCCCTGGTCTTGCACCACTCCCAAAAGCAGCCAGCAAACTCCCTCCCAAGTCCTGTTGTGTCCTCTCTCTGCTCTGTGGAAATAGGATACAGGGAAGGACAGGGGGCACCTTGACATCAGCACCCACTTTTGTCTCCCCTGCCCTGCCCAGAAAGCAGGAGGCTTCTGAGGAGACAGTTCCAAGGCAAAGGGCAAAAGATGCACAGCAGTGGGGGGAGAAGCAGCTGAAGAGCAAGCACTTGATAGCCTCTTGGCCAAACCAGTCAGGATCACCTGTCAGAGGTGCCAAGATCTACGATCCTGATCTATTGGTTGGTGACCACTGGTGTAGACGGTTACACTTTGACATCTGTAGTTATTAGCTCACTGCCTTGTCTCTCTAAGGCCATGCCTGCACTAGCGATCTTACAGCAGCTGAATCCTATGTCTGTCAGAAAGGGGTGTGGTTTAGAAAAGATAAGCATACATTGTAAATCATATCATGTTCCAATACTTTGCCTTCATTGTTGTAAAGTTTATTCATGATATTTGTAATTAAACTGTTGTTAAAACCAAGTTTCAGAATTTACTCAATGGGGCTGTATAATTTGCACTGTAGTTTCAGATGGAAATTAGAAGGTAGTATTTCAGAGTTCTGTAAAAGACATACTTTGTGATCTTTGGCAAGCCACTTAATTGCCTCAGTTTCTCCATCTGTAAAAATGTATAATTATAGGTCAGTGGTTCTCGAACTGTGGTCCGTGGCTGCTTCCAAATGGTCTCTGGCCCGAGTTCATCCCCTCCCCTTCTTCCCTCCCTTTCCCTGCAACAGGGAGCCCACTCTGGCACTGCAGTCTCTCAGCCACCTGTGAGGTTGGAGCACCAGTGTGGCTTCCCTCTGGGGGGGTGGGGAAGCCCTTAGTCTCCCCCCTGAACCTGGCTTGTGGGGAAGAAGCGGAGCTAGAAGCAGTTCCACATGCTGCCACTCCTCCACCCCTGGTTGGGAAAACAGCAGCGCACAGATGCGCTGCCTGGAGGATTTCCGCGCTGCTCCCATTGACCAGAATCCAGCCAGTGGGAGTGGTAGGAGGCCGTGTCTGGGAGCGGTGCGTGGCACGAAAACAAGTAAGTGCCCCCCACCCCGTCAAAGCTAGACCCTGCACCCCCAGCTCCCTCAGGCACCCTCTGCTGAGATCCCTCACCCCAGCCTGCTCCTATTACTTCTCCCATGGCCAGACACCCTACCCCCCACTCTGCTCCTGAATCCGCTCTTGCTCTTGCAACTTGCCTTCCGGCCACACACTGTGGATGTGGGAAAGTCAGTGGATGTGATATACTGTACCTTGACTTTAGCAAAGCTTTTGATACGGTCTCCCACAATGTTCTTGCCAGCAAGTTAAGGGAGTATGGATTGGATAAATGGATGGTAAGATGGATAGAAAGCTGGCTAGACTGTCAGGCCCAACGGGTAGTGATCAGTGGCTCGATGTAAGGTTGGCGGTAGGTTTCTAGCGGAGTGCCCAAGGATCTGTTCTAGGATTTGTTCAACATCTTTATTAATGACCTGGATGGAGGGGGTGGATTGCACGCTCAGCAAGTTCACAGATAACACTAAGCTGGGGGGAGAGGTAGATACGCTGGAGGGCAGGGATGAGGGTCCAGAGCGACCTATACAGATTAGAGGATTGGGCCACAAGAAATCTGATGAGGTTCAACAAGGACAATTGTAGAGTCCTGCACTTGGGACGGAAGAATCCCAAGCATTGTTACAGGCTGGGGAGCAAATGGCTAAGTAGCAGTTCAGCAGAAAAGGACCTGAGGATTACAGTGAATGAGAAGCTGGATATGAGTCAACAGTCAATGCATATTAGGGTGCATTCGGAGGAGCATTGCCAGCAGATCCAGAGAAGTGATTATTCCCCTTTATTTGGCTTTGGTGAAGCCACATCTGGAGTTTTGTGTCCAGTTCTAGGCTCTCCACTACAAAAAGGATGTGGACGCATTGGAGAGGGTCCAGCGGAGGGCAACCAAAATGATTAGGGGCTGGAGTGCATGACCTATGTGGAGAGACTGAGGGATTTGGGTTTGTTTAGTCTGCAGAAGAAAAGAGTGATAGGAGATTTAATAGCAGCCTTCAAATTCTTGAAGGGAGGTTCCAAAGAGTCTGGAGAAAGGCTGTTCACAGTAGTGACGGATGGCAGAATGAGGAACAATGGTCTCAAGTTGCACTGGGAGAGGTCCAGGTTGGATATTAGGAAAAACTATTTCACTAGGAGAGTGGTGAAGCACTGGAATGGGTTACCTAGGGAAATAGTGGAGTCTCCATCCCTAGAGATTTTTAAGTCTCGGCTTGAGAAAGCCCTGGCTGGGTTGATTTAGTTGGGATTGGTCCTGCCTAGGGCATGGGGCTGGACTTGATGACCTTCTGAAGTCTCTTCCAGCTCTATGGTTCTATGATTCTATCCATCCCTCTCCCCCCACAGTGTTGGAATGCCAGGGAGTGAGGTGTCTCCATTGGGGGCCACATCAGTGAGGGTTGGCAGATTTTGGTGGGTTTTTTTCTGCTTTTCACTTTCCCCACCTGATTTTTCTGTGGGTCAGTAGCCCTGACCCAAAAAAGGTTCCCATCCCACCATAAAGAAAGACAACATTTAAACCTTTTGTCTTGAACATAAATTAATATTTCACTTAGTTTATCCAACTTCATTTTAAATAAAGATGAGAAAGTTAAAGTTCTTAGCCTGTTTAATACATTCAATTAATATTTCTTTTCTTACTGGTTAAATTAAACCGTTCTCCATAGCTGCAGCACTAGCAAAATGGCTCAGGTGTGATTATGGTGAGTTTCCGTTAGCAGCTGGTGGTCTGTGGAAAGATTTGCATGAGTG